CATTTTCAAGAAGTCCTAACGTCTCTTTGAGATGATTCAGTGAGCTTCAAAAGACGTAGATGCAACCACAACATCGTCTAAGTAAGCAAGTGTGTCGCCCAAGAACAGAAGAGAGAACAATATCCATAGTTCTCTGGAATGTCGTTGGTGCTGTTGACAGCCCAAATGGTAGACGTCGGAACTGATACAGGCGATTCCCATCTGTAAAAGCCGTCTTTGGGCGGTCCTCGGGGTGAACAGAAATGGCCCAGTATGCAGCTCTGCTATCGAACGGTAAACCACGTCTTCCCAGATAGAGAGTCCATGAGCTCATCTATCCTAGGAAGTGGATAACTGTCTGGAGTGGTTACCTTGTTAAGACCTCGATAGTCCACACAAAAGCGTACAGAACCATCTTTCTTTTTGACGAGGACGACTGGTGATGACCATGGGCTCGTAGAAGGTTCTATCACACCTTGCTGTAACATTGTTTTACACTCCTGCTTAATGATTTCCTTTGTGCTCTGCGGCAGTCTCCACTGGCGTACACAGACTGGAACATTGGCATCAGTGTGAATGCGATTCAATGCCAGGGACAGTTCCTACAGTGTGTTTGTTCCCTGTGTAGAGTCTGGAAAACTCCTCAAGATATCTGTCAGTTGACTTCTGTTCGCATGTTAGGTGATTAAGGCTTAGTTGTTCCTCTAACAGATTGGAGCCATCGGTGTTAGGCGATGGTGTGGCACTGGCGACATCCAGCTGGGGTTCATTGCAGATTTGGCATGATTCATCAATGGCAGGTGTCTCAGGAAACACAAAAAACTCATCAGGCTCGTAGCCAAAGTCAAGGCACGCATCAAAACTCTCAAACCCATCTTCAATGAATCCATGCTGTTCAATTGACTCATTCAATGCACCCAGTGCACTGCCTCGATAACCAGAATCAGGAGTTACAGCTTCAGCAGTACTTATTTCCAAGGAGCCAAGGTCTTCACAAGACACATCTTCGGGTGGTGAGTCACGTAACTTTGGAGCCTTACCATCAATGGTTTCCTTGAGAGTACCCCCTGGGTATCTGAAGAAACTGGGAAGTGGTTTGGAGATCACTAGTTTCTACGAGTTCGCATAACCCACAATAGTACCAGGACTTAGTTTCCGGGGTTTCGGTTCTGTATTTACCACCCAAATGCTTGACCTCCTTTCTTGAACGGTAATAAGGTGCGTGGAACGAGCAAACGGGCCGCATTTCCTTCAATGACAGCAACATGAGTTTCATCAGGAACACTACGTGAAAGGGAAGCAGCTACAAATCTACCAGCCCTAGGTTCGATTGTTGTTGCTTCAGTCACATGCACAGGCGAGACGTAGCGAGGTTGCAAGGGAATGGAAGACTCCGGAAGCTCTCCCCTGGACTCATGACATGCAGGAACCTCACAACAGTGCGAAGACTCTTCACCCACAAACGTGACTACATGACGGTGACCATCCAACTCCAAGTAACTGTCACTAGAATTCGGCGAAATAAATATAACCACAGGCAATCTCCTAAGCAAATCCATCCCAACGAGCATATCCCCAGGAAAATGAATGCCAGAGGTGATACAGGTCCTGTGCACAAGGTCTAAACCAGGGTGGATGGTAAACTTCAGATCAGCTTCGGCTTCAACAGATTTAGGCATCCCGGCAACTCCTTTAAGTGTCCGAGAACTGCGCAACATGCGGATGCCAGGTAGGAGTTTGGCTGCTCTTCCTTCAGTACCGTCACCTCCGAGCCAGTGTCTATGAAACAGGTTATTCCTATCGTTGACTGGCAAGATGACCTGTGGTCGTCCCCTCAATGTCAGCATAGCTTTCTTGGTTGGTGACCTCCCTTGGACTGGAACTGCCGCCTGAGGGTTGGGAGTTTTGACCTGGACGGCTGGTACGAAAGGGACAGGAAGCTAAGAAGTGACCAGGCTCCCCGCATCCATAACACAAGCGCTTGTTGGCACGGCATTCTGACGTATTATGCCCCTCTAGACGATGATATTCACACCAGGCCCTCCGATGACTGTGTTGCGGCGTGGTGACAATGTCTGATGAGAGTGCCGTCGAGTGTCTTGAAGCTTTAGGAGACCAGTGAACATGCTGCTTGGAAGGACGGGTCCATTGCTGTGGCTGCGATTGTGACTGTGGTAACGT